TGGTATATCACTTAGACGAGTCCGTTTGGCATAGATAGGGTTGTTAGTGATTACACGCCACATAAAGCTCAGCGGGCTTTGGGTTCAACCTTCCTCAGATGATGCTCGGCTGTGTCGATAGTGTTTTCGAGAGTGCGTAGCATCACCCCTCCGTCCCTTCGCACCTTCCGCATTACGTAGAGCTGGCCGCTAATTTGACCTACTGTAGTGATTGTCATTTTAAGCTTGGCCGTGTCTGCCACAGACTGGAGGAACGGGTGCATACTACTCGGTTGTGTCCTTTTGTTGCGTTGTCACTCTCGGCCCTATCCTCGTCAATACCGTCTTGTCGAGCCATCGTATGGGTGTTCCACTCTGTTCAGTGCGTCATCAACGCCACATATCCACATCTTTCGTCGTTCTCACCGCTGAGTTACCAGTCCTATCCATTGTCTCATTTGGTGTCATACTTGCACAAGTCACCTCGACTGCCGCTGGCCACCCCATGTGTACGTCACCCCTCTCCTATGTGTCTATGCACCCTGACTCACCTGCCCTGCCCTTAGACCTCAGGGTGGATGTGATCACAATGATCGAGTATGTGACCAAGAACATGACAAGACTGTGTCCGTGTCGCGACGCGCAGCGCGCACCTATGTGAGCGTGTACTCGCGCCTCACAACACTCTAGTAGGAAACTGGAATACAATGTATTGCAACCCTCGCGATGGGGTACTACTCATTCCATGGCAGCTTTGTACTAAACTAGGCCAGAGTGGTGGAGAAAATATACTGCAATGCTCTTCAAGACATGCTTCTCATGATGATCCAGAGTTGTGCTGAGGACGGTGACGTGCGACAACCTCAGCCAATTTCTCTCCCAGCACCTTTTGAGCATCGAATGGCTCGTAGTCAAAACGTCTATGACGGTGGTGCATTAGCCAGGGTTTGAGCGAGTGTGTAGATTGCTCACTTAGGATGATAACGTGACCCGCCAAAGTGCCACATCATACGCTTCCATGGCTCCCCCCCCTTGACAGGTATCACTTCGGTGTTGAAAATGTTTTCATGTTCCTTTATCTGCTTCAAGTCGTTGTTGACGGTGTATCGGGTGGTCTTGCTCAATTTGTGGCAGTAGATGACTAGATCCCCTGCGGCCATCGCCGGAGGCCACACAGACAGGAAGGTGGAGTTTGGCATACAGCGTGAGCGAAGATATGCCGCAACATTGAGTCCTGCGTTGAGTATATCGATGTTAGGACCATCTTTGACGTTGCCGCCACTGTGTGGGAGGGAGTTTGGAGCGACAATACTGGCAGCGAGGAGGACTTCAGAGGCAGTCAGGTGAAAGCCCAAATAGAGCTCTGGAGGGTCGTTCTTTGTTGGCCCATTGGGTCTGGGTCCGGCTGTACGTGACTGTTCACGTCGCATTTCGACCCAGCGGGTAAACAGTATAGCAAGTCGGCGGTCGGGGTTGGGTGAGTTTGGTAACAGCTCAGACTCGGATGTCATGATGGCTGCCAGCTCATCGGTGCAAGCTTGGGTAGCCGGAAGAGGGGACAGGCCTTCGATGTACTCGTTGGTGTACTGTATAGTACAGTGAGCATTCAAGTGCGATTAGGTCAGATTTGAATCCTGAGCAGATGGGAATGGCAAATACGAACTTCGAGAGTGGGTGGCACTTTTGACTGGGTAGAACCTGCATGCATCTCCCCAGATGTTGGTTTGAACATGACACAAGATTGTGCACTTCGACCAGTTCTGATGATGTGGCGTGAACAATGTGGCTCAAGCTGGTGTGCTCATCAATGAGCGATGAAATCAGGTAGATACTTATATATATATATGCCATTGAGCGTCTGTGCCTTGGGACGTGTCCGACAGGTAAATTTAACAATTTGGCTAGCACTTCTCTGGGATTTTCGGGGGGCAAACTGATTTCCCGCTTACTTGCACAGAGCGGGCATGGCATGTTTGGTTGCCCGCCTAAGATGGCAGGTCGACCGGTCAACAAGGGTCCTCGGGCATCGCCGGACGCAGTAATCTGGTAGTCTCGTCACCAGACCTTATAGGGTGTTCCTCTTTAAGACAGTTGGAGAGCGAAAATTGAGAGAGAGCGGGAGGTCCTCTGCTCGGTTTCTCCCCGTCCCATTTTAGAAAGACCCCCCTATAATGCATATGATGGCTGGTGACGAGACTAGTAATATCCGGTAGTCTTGGACATCTGAACGCCGGCCCGCGGGCTTTCCAAAACAGGAGGGACACAAAACCCCGCAGATATAGAACGTAGAGTATACATCAGTTGTTGCAACATTCTAGGTGTAATAAATAGCGGTAGTTGCAACTTCGGCGGTTTAAGGCCAAATAGGCGCCGTGTGGCACAGCCACTGACGCGCGAGACGCGGGCGCCTATCTGCAGTTGCAGTCACGGCGAGGTGGGCGTCTATTGTAGTTGCAGCCACGAAAAGAACACGCAGCCAGCGGAATTGAACACCGGACCTGCTGCAAAAGCCTATAAGTAAGAGTGATACACATAAACCACTCAGCCACAGAGCTGTACAATCTCAAGGCTGTCCACGGTACTAGTTCTGATGGATTTCCCCAGCTACTAATGGTACTCCAAGTCCTTACCGGATCTTGATGCTGCATAAGGACTTATAATGCTGTTAGTAGCCAAAGGAATGGATGGACACTAGTACCATATATACTCCTATAGGGTGTACAGTTCTGTGGCCGAGTGGTCCATTTATATCACTGGAATCTGACATCTTGCTGAAGCTTGGCACTGCGTGAGGACTTAGAGTAACTGGGGGTGCCATTAGTAGCTGGGGAAATGTATCAGAACTAGTACCGTGGACAGCCTTGAGATTGTACAGCTCTGTGGCTGAATGGTTTATGTGTATCACTCTTACTTATAGGCTTTTGCAGCAGGTCCGGTGTTCAATTCCGCTGGCTGCGTGTTCTTTTCGTGGCTGCAACTACAATAGACGCCCACCTCGCCGTGACTGCAACTGCAGATAGGCGCCCGCGTCTCGCGCGTCAGTGGCTGTGCCACACGGCGCCTATTTGGCCTTAAACCGCCGAAGTTGCAACTACCGCTATTTATTACACCTAGAATGTTGCAACAACTGATGTATACAACTCATAGAACCGTTCCTCTGCCTTGGTGTTTCGTACTCCGATGTAGTCTCGTAACCAGACGGTATATTGGGAGGGCGTCAATGGCAGGCGACGCCAAAACCCTGCAGGCACCTCTTGCCTTTTTAGGAGCAATCCCCTTACAACCATCTGTTGCGGGACTAACTCCGACGTGCCCAAAGGGGATACACTATAAGGTCTGGCGACGAGACTGGTGATCTGGCCAGTAGGGGCAGCTACTGGCCGTTTTAGGCATGTCGTCCACAGAAGATATCAGCGATCCGAGATCTCGGATGAGAAGTTGAGCGCTAAAAAGCACAACTCTCAGCACATTGACTCAGCTTTCCGAATTCTAGGCCTTATGAGAATGACATTTGTATGTACACATCCAATCTCACGCTTCAGGCCCACATCTCAATACTATCCTGCGACGGGAAGTGCAACGGTTTTCAGTCTACCGGCTGCCATTCCTCCATCCCTGCGTATTATATTATCAAAATTGACATGCTGATGTGTACATGTCTGCTGTATACGTCTATGTACTTTATTGTACAGGATAATGTGTGGATGAAGCCTCGGAGCACTTCCGGTGAGACGACCCAAGTCGCGACATGTAATGCAACGCTCCGTCACTCGCAGTCACGACTGACAATGTGAAACTCCGACTTAGCGACCAGATGCCGAGCGCTCGGCGCAGCCCGTTGCGCATTTCCTGTCGCTCGACGCTCGGCGCTACCTGCAGCGCTCTATCGACGGAGTATGAAATGTCACTTCTCAAGGCCACCGGGTCTGCAACATTTCTCGGAACAGGGAACTGCTCTCCAGAACGAAAATCGGGCTAGTAGATAGCATTAAGGGTACATATATAATGTCCCATGCTCTTACCGGGCACTTCCAGATGTCAGTTCATGTCAGGATCTACGCATCAGTGTACGGGAGGTGACATGATTTCGCATACTTTGGCCTGTCCAGACGACTTTTACTCAACTCCCCACTCGAGTTCTCGTCCGTACCACTTGAAAACATATATATGTGCTATTATTACAAAGACAAACTACATGCCCAGCTTTGAAGGGACAGAGAGGACCGGAAGGGTGCGCAATGGCCGATTAGCATTACCTGTCGCAATTTGCACTTCCTGTCGCAGGATAGTATGGCTGCAAGATATGGTCCTACGCACTACTAGGTAGCTGCCAAATCAATCCGGCGGGTCACAGGTCACACGGGCCCACGCCGCGCCGATTTTTGGTGTATGTCCCGCGTCCCAACCGTTTCCGCCACCTCCGCCGGCGGCCCGGCGTCGCGGGTCACACCCCAAAAGTGGCATTTTTGGCGGCCCTGCGGGGCACTGCACCGCTTTGTGTACTGGGCGGTCACAGGCGCCTGCCGTTCGCGCTGCTTTTTCGGCGGGACCACTTCGTGTCCGGCCGGTCACACCCCAAACCCCCCGCCGGATTGGTCTGGCAGCTACAGTATATAACCAGCATGTGCAGCCTTAGGGGCCCCCGTCGATCGAACAACCCACTCACCCAGCCCTGCCACTGTACTTGCTAGACAACACTTCATTATGCGTCTTGACAAAGAAAACTTCTCTCAAGCATGGAATAACGCCATTAAATATGCGCGGTCGAGACAAGACCGAGAATGGGCGTACTATGCCCCAGTCAATCTACTGCTCACCACGCTACTATGGGAAAAAGACAGTATGTACCCGATTCAATTTGAATCATTGCAGAAAATGCTGATCATCCTATACTCTGTCTATGATAGATGACAAGGCCGAATTGGTCATAACGCCTCAGGCTGGATACAGCTACATCGGCCATGACGATGAAACGAAAACTCAAATACCCGATTTCGCCATTCAGTCCGATAGCAAAACAGTTGCCGTATGGGAAGGCAAAGTAGCGTTTGAACGTAATTGCAAAAGCACCCCGCGGGAGAATGCAGGGTTTGAAACCGCAGAATTTCTTGAGCAATACTGTCAACAAGCGATCAGTATCTTTGAAGCGGAAGACAACTGTTTATCTCTGCATATATTCTGTAATGTCGGCCCCTACTTTTCAACTCTTCACTTCGAACGCAAATCATTCGACGGCATTCTACAAGGTTCTAAACCCGACAACGAGAAGGTCAACCATCCCAAGCAAGAATCTGGAGCGGCACAAAGGCCTCCATATTCCAATAGCGCTGAGCTTGCGGATATGATGGGCAGCGAGTACAATGAGACAAGCCGGATGCTAGTCATCCCTACAATCAAGTATGCGGTGGAACACATGACAAACAACAATATTGAATCACCAATGCCATCTGGACAGCTGTTGCGTGCACTCTATGAGACTGTGTGCCAAAACGTCAATTTAAAACGAAAAGACCCAAAAGATAGTTTTCTTTCCAAGCTTGCAAAGGATTCACCTTACACGCCGGACCCATATTTTCTGGTGAGTGACCTTCAAACATGTGTTGTCTTGTTTCATTATACGATATATAGATGATAATTTTACAGAGCAATTTGACCAACCAATTTGTGGAGAAACGAGCCGCAATTCTCCAAACATTCACACAGACGGAGAATGCAGTCACGGGGCAGAACGCTTACAACAAGGAAGCGGAAGACAAGGAGGACGCCCGCACGGATGCTCAGAGCCCATTTCCCAGCCCGAAGCGTACCCACCGTTCTGCAACGGCAGAAGAGACAACAACAGAGCGGGCTGGCGTCGCGACGGGTCGGGCATCAGATCGCCCTCGGCGACATACACAACCGCACCGTCACAAGAACGATTTGAGAGGATACACCGCTGTTGAAAAGAAGGAAGATCCAGCCAGAAAGTCCGGGGAAGACGACACGGACGACACGGCCGATGCGGGCAACACGGACAACGCAGACGACACGACAGGGGAACGACTAGGACGGGGTGGACGAGGACGGGGTGGACGGGGACGGGGTAGATAACCCTGACGCGGACAGGGTGGGCGAGCCGATAGGGACAACCCAGCGAGCGGAAGGACCGCCAAATACCGAACCTGCATGCAGAACCCGCAACACATGTTTGGTAGTTCCGCCAGCAATTGAGAGTCGAGCATAAGCAGAGGTCCTGAATCGACAAGATATCAGCCATGACGAAGAGACGAGCATAGCGAAGACGTGACGATGAAATATTCCCTTCCCTGTATGGAGAAAGCATGTAACTATAATATCGAATGATACGTGTCCTGACAAAATCAGCCTGGAGCTCGCTCGGGATCCAATATCGTTGCTATCATAGAAGTCGAGTCTGAATCTAGGTGCTCTGTGTTCTGCCCGACCATAACTATACCGCAGTGAACACTCCGAGGCGGCGGTCTTAACCTATACTGATGTAGACTTATAGCGTCGCCGCCTAGTGAGGGTGGCGTGGGTCTAAGCGCGGGTGCCAAGGTCATTGCGACGAACGTTCCTACTTTGCCCTATTTTACCCTTGATGATGATCACGCGTTGAACGTAGTATTATCTGCGAGAACGCCACAGCTCTACAAAATGTATAAGAGGAGGTATTGAGGGACAAAGGACTCACCGCCTGCGGTCTATACATCGAAAATAGCCATTCAGACAAGGACAGCACATAGAATCTGGGAGCGTTCCAGCGGGGCAGCGACCCACAAAAGCCCTAACAATCGCTGGAGCCCACGTCTTAGGGTAGCGAATGGGCTGGGTAGTAGACGTTCTTTGAGACGAGCCTCAATGAATTGTCAATGAAAGTCCGAGTGACAGAGAACTGTTGTATCATGTCGCGAAGACGGCGAGGCCTTCATGGCCACGTCAGAGGGACAGCACAGACGCGGATGGCATCACCTGAGCAGAACCATGAGAACGCCGATGCTGCACCTGACGGACCGACGACTTACCGAGTAGTTGTGAGCGTCCGCGCGGGCAACATACACGGCGCTTTCCCGCCGACCACAGGCACCTACAGGATACGAGAATCGAGCGGCTCAGCGCAAGGCCTGGAGGTTGCGTGGCCAGACCGCCAGTGATGCCCACAGCGAGCTATCGCGCCCTGGCGCGTCGCGGCCCCGTTAGCGTGCGCCGTGGTCGAGCGTGGTCGAGCCAGGGAGATGGGGACGTGGCCTCGGCTCGTGCATCTGGGTGGCCACCGCAGATATCTTCGAGCCCGGACCTTGGATCTGGCTCGCAGAGATAGCAGCTGGTCCTCGAGTGTGATATCGCGAGGAGATCTGTACATGGGACTCGGGCCGGATATCTGTATCACACGTCGGGCGGACATGCGACCAGCGCGGACGGGCCTGAGTAAGTGGATGGTGAGCGCAGCTTGACGAGAGATGGTGTCTGGGTCGCACCTTCATTGTGTGTGCAGATGCTGGCGGGCGTAGCAGCCTCACGCCGGCACAGTCAGCCTCCTCGGGGCACCATCAGCGA